AAATCAAGAGTGCCAAAGCAGGACTAAAGAATTGATTCATGCATGCCTAGCTGACAATCTCACCAACAGTTGTTATCATCATTTGGCTCATTTGCGGTCAAACTAAGTTCTTATCTGTGTTAAAATGGTTAATAATTTCTAATTTACCTTTCAAAAAATATAGTTTCAATCTTTACAGTGGGATTACAGGTTCTCAAAAATTCACTTTAAACAGATAAAAAGCTCAAGATTTTAAAAAACATAAATAAGGAAAAATATCTGAACCTCACTTAACAAACAAAAACATGCAAAGTACAAATGAATTTAAGACATACTAAACATTTTAAGGATCAACATGGCAGAATGGAGCACACCTCTCCCCAAATACAAAACAGAAATACACCTACAAGTGGAACAATTTTCACAGAAAACCTACTGGAAGCTGGCAAGAGGTCTCTTATTCAACCAAAGCTGTAAGAAAAGATAAAAACACTAATTTGAAAAGATAAATGCACCCCAAAGTTTACAATAGCCAAGACATGAAAACAATCAACTCAAGTGCCCATCAACAGATGACTGGCTTAAAAAGATGTGTGCAAAAATAAAATCAGAATGAATTACAGACTTAAATGTAAGGCCAGAAACTATAAATCCCTTAAAGGAAAACATAGGCACTACACTCTGTGACATAAATCACAGCAAGATCCTCTTTGACCCACCTTCCAGTGTAGTAAAAATAAAATCAAAAATAAACAAATGAGACCTAATTAAACATAAAAGCTTTTGCACAGCAAAGGAAACAATAAACAAGATTAAAAGACAACCCTTAGAATGGGAGAAAACAATTGCAACTGACAAAGAATTAATCTCCAAAATATATAAGCAACTCATATAGATCAATATCAGAAAAACAAACTGCCCAGTCAAAAAATGGGTAGAAGACCTAACTGACATTTCTCCAAAGAAGACATACAGATGACCAATAAACATATGAAAAGATGCTCAACATCACTAATTATGAGAGAAATGCAAATCAAAACTACAATGAGGTATCACCTACCAGTCAGAATAGTCATCTTTAAAAAAAAAATCTACAAACAACAAGTACTGGAGTGGATATGGAGAAAAGGGGATCCTCCTATACTGTTGGTGGGAATGGGAATTAATGAAGCCATTATGGAGAACAGTGTGGAGATTTCTTGAAAAAGTAAGAATAAAATCTATCATATGAAACAGCAATCCCACTACTGGACATATACCCTGAGAAAGCCACAATTCCAAAAGACACATATATCTCAATGTTCATTGCAGGACTATTTACAATAGCCAGAACATTGACGCGACCTAGATGTCCATCTCCAGATGACTGGATAAAGAAGATGTGGTACATATATACAGTGGAGTATTACTCAGCCATAAAAAAGAATGAATTTGAATCGGTTCTAGTGAGGCAGATGAACCTAGAGTCTGTTATACAGAGTGAAGTAAGTTAGAAAGAGGAAAACAAATAGCATATATTAACACACATATGTGGAATCTAGAAAAATGGTACTGATGAACCTATTTGCTGGGAAAGAATGAAGACACAGATGTAGAATACAGACTTGCAGATACAGTGGGGGAAGGAAAGAGTGGGACTAATGGATAAAACAGCATCAACATATATACGCTATAATGTGTAAAACAGATAGCTGTTGAGAAGTTACTATATAACACAGGAAGCTCAGTCTGGTGCTCTGTGATGCCAGAGGGAGGGATGGGGGAAGGGGCAAGAGACTCGAGAAGGAGGTATATATGCATGATTATGGCTAATGCACGTTGTTGTACACAGGAACCAATATAACACTGCAAAGCGATTTTCCTCCAATTAAAAAGTAAATTAACAAAAAAAGATGTGTGTGCACAGAATGGAATATTACTTGTCCATAAAAAAGAATGAAATATTGCCATTTGCATTAACATAATGGACATAGAGATTATCATAGTAAGTGAAGGAAGTTAGATAAAGACAAATATTATATATCATGTATACATATAATCTTAAAATAATTAATTTATACACAAAACAGAAACAGAATCACAGATTTATAAAATGGACTTATGATCACTGAAGAGCAATGGGAGGGTAGCAATGGGGGACTAAATGAAGAGTACGGAATTAACAGATAAAAATTACTATACATAAAATAAATAAGCAACAGTATTTTCTATACAGCACAGGAAACTATATTCAATTATTTTTAATAACCTAAAATGGAATATAATCTGGAAAAGGAATATATATACACATATGTATATGTGTGTGTGTGTATCTGAATCATTTTTCTATACACTTGAAACTAATACAATATTGTAAATAAACTATATTACAATAAAAAATGCAAAAACAAGAGATGTTAACATATATCCAGAAATTGAAACAACTGTTTTAAGATTTCCAATAAGAGTAAAGAGAAGAAAACAATCTATGACATTAAGGAATATTCTCAGCAAATGAAGAAAGAAAATACTCTTCAGATTAAAAGAGCCAATGAGAATCCATTTTTGAAATCCACATCAGTTACTGAAAACTGAATGAATGATAAATTGAAAATTCTGAATGCCAGGGATAAACAGAAAAGTTTTTAAAGCTCTCAAAAAAAGGGGGGAAAAAGATGTCTTATAAAGGAAAGAATATTTGATTGGCATGAAAATTCTAACCCACAACACCAAATGCTAGATATTCTAAGGAAGGAAATATTTAGAACTCTACACCCAGGTATTTTTATCATTCAAGTGAATAAGAAACAATGCAAAGATTCAAAAGGTTTACTGCGTTCTAAGTCACTTCAGTCACGTCCGACTCTTTGCAAACCTATGAACTACAGCCTGCCAGGCTCCTCTGTCCGCAGGATTCTCCAGGTGAGAAAACTGAAGTGGGTTGCCATGCTCTCCTCCAGGAGATCTTCCCCACCCAGGGATCAAACCTGTGTTTCTCACATCTAACCTGCAATGGCAGGAGGGCTCCTTACCACTAGCGCCACCCGGGAAGCCCAAAAGGCTTACTAACTAACAATTCATTTGGAAAGAATTACTGAAGGCTTACTAACTAACAATTTATTTGGAAAGAATTACTGAAGACTATTTTCCTGAAGACGAACAAATGAGAAGGAAAGAATGGAATATAAGAAAGATTTGTGAACAGAGAACTCTAAATAATTATACAACTCTAAATAATTTTTAGAAAGTTCTAAAAATTTTAAGAGCTTGGAGACTTTCCAAGTACCTTTCCCCCTACCTTTTAGAAACTTCTTTTCACTGTGAAATATAACACACATACAGAGAACTACATAAAGAAAAACGTGAGATTAGTAAATTATTGTAAATGAATATTCTGTGCCTGCATTCAGTCTAGAAGCAGAACATTGCCTCCCTGTCCTTTTCCTAATCAACACCTCTAATCCTTCCCAGCAGCATCCACTAGCAAACATTTATAAAAACCTTGCCCAACAGGTCTACCTAAAAAATTCATTCCTAAATGATACAGCATAATTTTGCCTATTTTTAAACTTTATCTAAATGGGTAATACATACAGCATTTTTGTGTCAGGCATCTTTCACTAAACATTGATGTTTGTGGAGAAACAAAAGCAGCAATTGCAGGAGAGGCTGAGCAATATCTCAACTCCCCACAAGTACCAGGGCTGGTATTCACCTCTCCTGGACAGCTGGTTCCTAGTTATAAGACGTTTTCTGTGCTAGCAAGACCATTTTATGTCTGCAACAAAACCACTGCTACAATCTTGATCAAGTATTTTCCTGTTCTTTATCAAAATTCCTAAAAAGGGAGAGCAACAGGGAGCTCAATACAGACATCCCAGCCGTCCCATCCCAAGAACACCTCTCTACTTGATACCAAGAGCCTGGGAGGATAAATGCGCCCAACAGCTGCAGCCTGCAAGTTCTAGCCTACATGGTAGCAATTGCCACTTTGTCTCAACTCTTTAAGCAACAGTGGGGCCCATTATGGAACAAATATGGATTTGACTAGGTCCCAAAGAGAAGAAAGAGCGTCCCAAGTGGCACTAATGGTAAAGAATCCACCCGCCAATGCAGGAAACGCAAGAGACTCAGGTTCAATCCCTGGGTCGGGAAGATCCCCCTGGAGGAGAAAATGGCAACCCACTCCAGGATTCTTCCCTGGGAAATCCCATGGACAAAAGAGTCAAGAGCGCTACACCATGGAATTGCAAAAGAGTCAGACATGACTTAGTGACTAATCAACAACACAACATACCACCACTGTGATGATATCCTCATTAAAAAATGCTTAACTTGAATCTAACTGTAAGGAAACAATAAGGCAAATCCAAATTAGGAAACCTGCAAAGCAACTGGTGTAAATTCTTTAAAAAATCACACTTGTGAAAAAAAAAGAAGACACAGGAAGTGTACTAGATTAAAGGATACTAAAGAAACACAATGAAGTAATATATGATCCTTCTGAAGGAGCACTTTTCATGAAGTATTCCACTGTCTTCAATACACACTCAGAGTTTGGGGGAGCACAAACATAGCAAAATGTTAAAGGCTAAGAAAATTACTGGAATTCAAAATGACAGTATAAGGTAAATCAGGAGCTTGTAGCATTAAGAGGCTTTAAAACTAGTTTTTAATTATAAATAGCAATTTTTAATGGCAACTAGTGTAGTTTAATCGCTCAGTCATGTCCAACGCTTTGCGACCCCACAAACTGTAGCCCGCCAGGCCCCTCTGTCCATGGGATTCTCCAGGCAAGAATACTGGAGAGGACTGCCACTCCCTTCTCCAGAGGATCCTCCCGACCCAGGGATCGAACTTGTGTCTCCTGCATTGCAGGCAGATGCTCTACCTTCTGAGCTAAAAGGAAGGTCTAATGGTAACCAGTGACAGCATTTTTTCTCATTTTTTATGAAACTTCCTCAAACATTCAATTTCTCGGCCCATCACAGAAAGGGGATTATGTTGCAGTTAAACAAAAAGCGACTCTAGAGGACACTTACGAGAGCAGGTGGCAGTCTGCCACTCCAGACACTGCCCGTATGGAAAGGAGATTATGTAGGCGTTGGAGTCCACACACCGCTTTGTACTACTGCACCACATACACTCCATACCGTTGCTCGTGCAGTTGGGACACGACGTCCTTAAAGAGCAGGGCTTTTTGCACGGCCTCGCGTTTTGATTTGGACTAACTGGAATAAATTAACAAAAGATAAGTATTTTATTTCTTAGCTGCTTTTTTGACACAAGGATGTGAGTTCTGTTTGTTGTTTAGGGAATGTTTCAATGAAGCCAAGTGGGGGACTAAAAATTAGAGTCAAAATTATATAAGGTAAAATGAGAATAAAGATGGCATGTCAATACTTCTTAAATTTATTATCTAATTTGAAACTTATAATAGCCTGGAAAATTTTAACCCTTTACAAAGTACATAAAATTGTGTAACTTAATTTTTTTTAATAGAAATGTAATACATGACTTAGGCTTTTGTTTCTATTGGCTAGATAATAGGTATGCTTATCACTAATTACTTTTCAAGCTAGCCACACTTCTACTAATATAAACATTCCACACCTTATAAAAGCAACAAACAATTTACTATAAAATCTTAACATAAAACATAATCTTTATCACATCTATTCGGATTGCTATGTTTTAAATGTTGGTAAGGATGTGGAGAAATTGTACCCTGTACACCACTTTTAGGAAAGGCAAAGTGGTGAAGCTTCCATAGCAAACAGTATAGCAAGTCCTCAAAAAATTAAACACAGAATTACCATATGATATAGCAATTCCACTTCTGGCTATATACACAAAGACATGAAAGCAGGAACTGAAACAGTTATTTGTACACCCATGTTCACAGCATCATTATTCACTGTAGTCAACAGGTAGAAGCAACAAGTATCCACCAATGTATGAAGAGGTAAAGAAAATGTGGAATATAAACACAATGGATAAACATTCAGGTTTAAAGAGGAATGATATTCTGACACATACTACAAGATGGGTGAACTTTGAAAACATTATTCTGAAAGGAAATAAGCCAGTCACAAATGGACAAATACCTCATGATTCCACTTATATGAGATACTTAGCAGTGGGGTTGGGGAGCGATGAATGGGGAGTTATTGTGTAATGGATATGGAGATATAGTTTGGGAAGATGAAAAAGTTCTGGAGGTGGACAGTGCTGGTAGATTAACAACAATGTGGATGTACTTAATGACACTGAACTCAACACTTAAAAATGATTTAGATATCTCAATCATATCTCCAAACCACTGAACAAAAAAATGGCTAAAATTGTAAGTTTGACATTATGTATATTTCACTGCATTACAAAATATAATATTTAAAAAGAGAATTCAGTACTCCTTTCTCACTTAACAAAACTCCATTTCAAAGGATGTAACAGGAATGCTTCTTTTCACTTGCCAACTGAAATAGATCTATAGGATTAAAATGATTCTAAATTAGTTGTTAATATTAACAATTAATCTTTCCTATAAAAACTATTATAAAAGCAAAACAGTAAAAAATTAAGAACAGATTATTACTATAACATCACTATTTTAACCAAGAAATAAAGATTGTATCAAAAAAATACAATTCTATTACTTTTACAAGTTAATGCTGAGGTCACTAACAGTAAATGAGGAAAGTGGACAAAGATAAAATTTACACAGAAATCAGCATCATTAAAAGATGGTGAAAGTTACTTCAGGCCTATGTAGGATCACAGGCTGGAAGGCGGTTGTGGGAAGAAGAGCTAGAAATATAAATTACATCTTTAAAGAAACATTAGTTTACAGGAGTACTTACCAACAGGTTTCTCGCAGACAAGGCCATCTGCCATAGACGTGCAAGGATTAGCTTTTAAGCCTGCCACTGCAGCCCTTTCCAGATACGCACAGAACCCAGAATCATTAGGTTCACCAGGAAGCCACTGTAGTGTTGTATTTGTAAATGGAGACATGTCTTCCCATCCCCAGTAGGATATATTGATCTTGCGTAAGCCTACCCAAGGTGATACTTTCTGTAAACAACAGCAAAAGTGACATTTTTTAAAAACTGAGACGTAAAAATCCTGTGTCACATTCCTTAGCAAACAGTTCATTATCTTTAAAAATTACATTTTAAAATATATCGAAGTACCCTTCTAATAACATCAAATACCAAGGAAAATTAACAATCCTAGGACATCTTGGAAAATGATAGAACACTATGTTAAAACTGTACATTTAGCAACATGACTCAGGTCATTTATTTAGCCTTTGTGAACCTCAGTTTCCTATTCTATAAAATGGGGGTATGTGATATACATACCTATCTTATGAGAATGCGTGCATGCATGCTAAGTCGCTTCAGTCGAGTCTGACTCTGTGTGACCCTATGGACAACAGCCCACCAGGTTCGTCTGTCCACAGGATTCTCCAGGCAAAAATACTAGAGTGGGCTGCCATTTCCTTCTCCATTTATGAGAATAGATCATTTTTAAAAACAACATATTGTATTGCTACTGTTGTTTCTGATACTTCCACTCCAGCTGCTATTACTACTGCTACTATCAATCCAATGAGTTATGGAGTTAAGAATCTAAAGCTCAAGTGCCATTATGTGCACTGTGAAAATAGAAAACAAAACCAATGAACACGATATGAAGACTGAGTGAAGACTTCACAGTAGGTTTATAAAAAGACAAAGAAGTGTCTCTCTCCTAGTTCAGACCTCTACTAGTACAGTAGGACTTCAGTGCAGTTTTAGATAAAATTAGTCACCTACCTCCATTATTAAAGAGGTCAAGAAATAAATAATAAAAGTCTTTGACCCTGTTGCCTAAAATTTAATTAACAGAGGTTGATAAATGCCACCAAAGTAAATATCCTTAACGCTCTCAGCAATACTTCAAAAGTAGCTTAAAAACAAAATATATTCTGTATTTATATACATTATTTTAATCATTCCTAAATTTTAAAAGGCTATTCTAATGAGACTGACAAAATAATGATATATTCTTGGGCCAAGCTATTCTCCTTACAAATCTTTTTCGAATTGCAAACATCTCTTTTTCTTGTCTTGTTTCTGCTTAGAGTTATACATCTCTTTTTGAGATTTTAATTTTCATTTTTTGTAGCTTAACTGAGGTGTAATTGACAAAAGAAAATTATACATATATAAGGTATATGGCATATTTGTTTGGTATATGTGTTTCACACTGTAAATGATCACCTCAAGGTAATTAACATTACCCATCACCTCACATAACTGTGTGTGTGTGTGTGGTAAGAACATATAAGATCTACTCTCTTAACAAATTCCAAGTATACAATATAGTATTATTAACTACAGTCAACTGTCCTATACACTAGATCTCCAGAACTTATTGTCCTGCATAACTGAAACTTTGTATCCTCTGATCTACATCTAAACATTTCTCCTATACCCAACCCCTGGCAACCATTATTGTACTATCTGCTTTTATCAACTCAACCATTTTAGATTCCACATATAAATGAGAACACCCAGTATTTGTCCAAGTCTGGCTTATTTTACATAGCATAAATGTGTCTCCAGGTCCATCCATGTTGTTAAAAACAGAAATTCCTGATTTTTTTAAGTCTGAATAAAATTATACGTGTGTGTGTGTGTATATATATTTAAGTTTGTATATTTTCTTTATCCATCCATGTATCCATTCATGAACACTTAAGCTGTGTCCATAACTTGGCTATTTGAAGTGCACACATCTCTTCAAGATAGTGATTTAATTTCCTTAGGATATAGAACTGGGCTTCCCTGGTGGCTCAGATGGTGAAGAATCCACCTGCATTGTGGGAGACTTGGGTTCGATCTCTGGGTTGGGAAGATCTCCTGGAGGAGGCCATGGCAACCCACTCCAGTATTCTTGCCTGGGGAATCCCCATGGACAGAGGAGCCTGGTGGGCTACAGTCCGTGGAGTCGCAAAGAGTCGGACATGACTGACCCACTAAGCAAAGCATAGGATACATAACTAGGTGTGGCACTGTTGGATCATATGATATTTTTCATTTTGGGGGGGAAACTCCATACTGTTTTCCAAATTGACTATACCAGTTGTATTCCAACCAACAGTATGTAAGGATTCCTTTTCTCCACATTGTTGCCAATATTTGTTATCTCTTGTCTTTTGAACAACAGCCTTTATAACAAATGTGAGATGATATCTCAATTGGTTTTGATTCACACTTCCCTGATGTTTAGTGATGTTGAACTTTTTATAATATACCTGATGGCCATTTGTATGTCTTCTTTGAAAAGTATCCTTTGCCTGTTTTTTAACTGGGTATATTTGTGTGTGTGTATGTGTGTGTGTGTGTTGAGATGCTTGAGTGCCTTATATATTTTGGACAATAACTCTTTTATTAGATACATGTTTTACAAACATGTCCTCCCATTCCTCAGGTTGTCTCTTTATTCTGCTGATTATTTCCTTTGCTATACAGAAGCTTATTAGCTTGATACAATCTCATTTGCTCTTGTCTGTGCTTTGAGGCTCACATTCAAAAAATCAGTGCCCTGACCAATGTCAGCAAGACTTTTCTGCATGTTTGCCTCTGGAAATTTTACAGTTTCAAGTCTTACAGTTTAAGTCTTTAATTTATTTTGAATTGATTTTTGTATATGGTATGAGAAAAAGAATCCACTTTCATTCTTCTGCATAAGAATATCCAAAATCATTTATTGAAGAGATTGTCCTTTCCCTATCCTGTATTCTTGACACCTCTGGCAAACATCAATTGATCATAAATACATGGATTTATTTAGGGCTTTCTATTATAATATGTCTTGGTGAAGATCTCTTTATGTTCAATCTGCTTGAGGTTCTTTGGGATTAATGGCTCTGGATGTTCATTTCCTCCTCCATATTAGGGAAGTTTCCTGTCATTCTATTTTTAAATGAGTTTTCTGTGCCTTCTGGAACTCACATAAAGCATACATTGATTCCTTATGGTCTACAATAAGTTCCCTAGGCTTTCTTCACTTTTTTTCATTCTCTTTTTTTGAACTCTAGGTAATTTCAAATGACTCGTATTTGAGCTTGCTGACTCTTTATTCTGCCTGATAAGAGTCTGCTATTGAAGTTCTATGTGGAATTATCTAGTTCAGTCATTACATTCTTCAGCTCCATTAATTACTCTTGGGTTCTTTTTTATAGTCTGTATGTCTTTTTTGAACCACTCAATTAACTCTTCTTTCATATACTGTTTTCCTAATATTGTAAGGCTGTTTATCTGTGTTTTCTTATAATTCACTGAGCTGCTTTCATTGGTTATTTTGAGTTCTTTGTCAGGCAATTTGCAGATCTCCATTTCTTCTGAGTCAGTTGTTATTGTTTAGTTGCTAAGTCATGTCCAACTCTTTGCAACTCCAGGGACTGTAGCCCTCCAGTCTCCTCCTATCCATGGGATTTTCTAGGCAAGAACAGTGGAGTGGGTTGCCTTTTCCTTCTCCAGGGCATCTTCTCAACCCAGGGATCAAATCCGCGTCTCCGGCATTGGCAGGCAGATTCTTTACTGCTGAGCCACTAGAGAAGCCTTTACCTGTGCTTTACTTTGTTCATTGGTAACGTCACGTTTCCCTGATTTCTCGTGATTCCTATGGCCGTGCATTGGCATCTGCACATGTGAAGAAGTAATCACCTCTTCCAGTCTACAGATTGGCTTCAGTAGGGAAAGCCTTTCTTCAGTCAGCCTATCCAGAGATTCTGGAAGACTGTGTGGTGGGCTCTATGGGCAAGTTTACTGTTGAAGTCAAGTGGGCTGCCCTGGGGCCTAGGCCGTGGGTAAGCAGGCCTAGAATCTGGGTCCAGAGGACCTGTCTGGAGCCTGGGTTCAGAGGGACAAGCCTGGTCCTGGCTCCACTGGAGTGGGTCTGGAGTTTAGGTCTGCATGGACAGACAGAACCAAGGGCTCCACAACAGCAGGCCTGGAACCGGAGCCTGGGTGCAGGCCTGGATCCGAGGGCTGAAGGGATCACTGTGGCTGGACAGGGCTGGTGGAGACTGAGTACAAAGTGGTGGGCCAGGAACCTGGCCCACAGTGCCAAGCGAGCAAATCTGGTCCACAGGGGCCAGTCTGGAGCCTGGATCTGCGGGAGCCACCCAGAAGCATGCATCCACAGGGCTCACCAGGCACTGAAGCAGGCCTTGAGCCTAAACCCACTGAGGCCAGTCTGGTGCTGGGGCAAGCTGGGCACCTGGGCCCACAAGTATAGTCCTAAGGCTGCAAGGGCTAGCCTGGGGCCAGGGTCTACTGGGGCAGGCCTGGTCCTGAGTCTGTGAGATAGGTGTGATACCTGCGTCCATGGAGATGGGCCTGGTACCTGGGCTCACAGGGGCGGGCCTAAAGCCTGAGTCCACTGGAATGAGCCTGCCCCTTGGTCGGCAGAGGCCAGCCCAAGAGAGGATGTGGACCTTAGGTTTCCTAGAGCCCAGGAATCTATGGGGGCTGGCCTGGAGGCTGGGTCTGTGGGCACCAGTCTGCATCCTGAGGCCACAGGAGCCAGTCTGGCACTGGGATGTGCCTGGCGCCTGGGTTCACAGGGAAAACCCAGGCACTGGGGTTCATTAGAGCAGCCCTGGGGGGTGGGGACCACAGCAAAACCAGTGCTCATGTCATCCTCTTTCCCCTTCGCTTCACTGCACTGTGTAGGCTTGGGGAAGGATGATGCAGGTAATGTGGAACTGTCCTTTCTACCATCTTTAATCAATCTTTTCTTATTTCTGTGTTCCCTCTGCCATCCCTGATGCTATAACCTCTCACCTGTACTCCTTAGCCTTCAGAAAGGTATTTTGTGTATGGGTAATTTGTTAAATCAGCGTTTCTGGGAGGGAATCAGTGCCAGAAATTTCCATTCTATCATCTTGCTAACAACATTCCAAAACATTCCCACTTAAATACACATAATAGTATATTTATGCTCAAAGTTATCAAGTTAATAATATTATATTATAATGTGAAGTGGTTTCGAAACTCCACATCATCTTTTTTTTTCAC